ATAAATTTACCACACAACCCAGCAACTACAATCCTACATATCTACCCCTAAATGAAAAGCCACTTTCAGAGACTTGCACTTTTATGTTCATAGCAGCATTATGCATCACTGCAAAAAAAAAAAAAAAAAAAAAAAAGGAAGCAGTCCGAAGGTCCATCAACATGTAAATGGATAAAATATGGTATATAATAAAATACCATTCAGCAATAATGACAGAAATGCCTATATATGCTATGACATGGATGAACCTCAAAACAACATATTATGCAAATGAAGCCAGATTCAAAAGGTATTATTAGATGATTCTGTTTATACGAAATGTCCCGGTAAGAAAAATCTATAGGGACTGAAACTAGATAGAAGTTCCCTGGAGCTGGAAGAGGAAACAAGGATGAACTGTAACTGAGCATATTTTGTAGCAATGATGTCAATCTAGTAAGACCATGGTCAAGTTATACAACTCCGTAAATTTGTCAAATATCACGAAATAGCACAGTCTTAAAATGAGTAAATTTTATGGCATTAAATTATACCTCAATATTTAAAGAGACATATATGTGAATTTTATGGTATGCAAATTATGCATCAACAAAACTGTTTTAACGAAGAATGTGTATGTAAGGTGACCTGCCATCCGTTTGCCTGACTGTCCCAGTTTTAGCACTAAAAGTTCTTTGTCCCAAGAAACCTCTCAGTACTAAGCAAACTAAGATGGCTGGTCTGGTCTCCCTTTAGGTATGCTACCTTCTGTATAAGAAAGAATGGAAAGAAAATATACATTTTTTGTTTTCCTCCATAAAAAAGAAGCTTCAAAAACCAAAACCAACGAAGCTGGATACTTACAACAGATGGGAATGGGTCAGAACAGATAGAAGAGAAAGTTACGCTTCTGGGTATATGTTTTGGTAAGGTTCTAACTTCTAGAAGCGTGTTATGGCTCCATAAAATTTATTATTATATTATTATTTTTGAGACGGAGTCTCGCTCTGTCGCCCAGGCTGGAGTGCAGTGGCCGGATCTCAGCTCACTGCAAGCTCCGCCTCCCGGGTTTACGCCATTCTCCTGCCTCAGCCTCCTGAGTAGCTGGGACTACAGGCGCCCGCCACCTCGCCCGGGTAGTTTTTTATATATTTTTTTAGTACAGACGGGGTTTCACCATGTTAGCCAGGATAGTCTCGATCTCCTGACCTTGTGATCTGCCCGTCTCGGCCTTCCAAAGTGCTGGGATTACAGGCTTGAGCCACCATGCCCGGCCCATAAAATTTTTAAATAAAATTAGATCAACAAGAATGGGAGGAGTTTGGGAGAAAAATTTCAAACCTGAAGGCAAATATGTTATCTTTCAAATAACATAACTACAGTGAAGGAGAAAAAAAAATACAACTAATTTATAAATGCACAATGTAGCCATTATCCTTAACCTTGAGCAGGATATGAGTAAAGAACTGAAAATAAATCTTGTTTTTACAGTGATATAGGCAAAAGCAATTCTAAAATTATTTCAGATATATTATAGAGTGAATAATTGATTTTTGGGGGAATCCAGGACTTCTGAGGAAGGAGTGACATAGAAATATGGAATAGTGACGGCGAGAAAGAATCCTGCAATAATGGATTGAAATTGGAGGCACTAGTATAAATTCATTTCGGAAATCAAACATAACATGTATATAAGCACATGTAAATGCTATCTGGACATGCACATCTGAGTGTTAATGTAGTCATGTCTTGATATCTATGGGGGATTGGTTCTAGGAACCCCGAGGATACCAAAATCTGAGGATGCTCAAATCTGAGGATGCTCGTGGCCCTTAAAATGGCATAGTATGTGCATATAACCTACACACATTCTCCCATATCCTTTAAATCACCTCTAGATTACTTATACCTGATACAAGGTAAATGCTATGTAAGAGCTGTTATACCATATTTTTAAAATTATCATTGTATTATCTTCTACTTTGTGGAATATTTTCGATTCCCAGTTGGTTGAATCCAGGGATGTGGAATCCATATAGGCACAACTCATGGATACAGAGGGTCAAGTGTACATACACGACTTTTCTAGTTCTGTCTGCTGAATAGCCTAGAAACAGACACCCAGTAGCAATGAGTACATCCAGCATCCAGATCTAGGTATCTAATATTCCCTAGGGTTCTATGGAGAAATTGCTGACTCTAAATCCCGGAATTTCTTTTATATAACCTATGAAGTCCTTTAAACAAACGACGGGATATCCCAAGGACATGGGAGCCAGCTCAATAGTTTCTTCTGGCCAAATCTGAGGCTACTTGAGCATCAAAGTTGTATGGTAAAACATACAAAGTAAGTATGGTAAAATTAATTAAAAAGCACTGGAAAAACATTAAAAAGCATGAGTTTATAACAATAACAGATGTAAAAATGAGACGGATATAGATGGATGAATGAATGAATGGATCAGGGGAGAAAGGAGGGCTCCTGCTTACAATAAAATATTAATTGCCAACTAGTACATGTGGAAAGAATGCTGAAGTTGGAGACTGAATATCAAGAATCATCAATGCATGCTAAACCCTGGATAAAAACGTTAGCATGGAATTAAAGCATGGAATTAAAAGAGTCTCCCACAGGTTATTAATTGCAAGGTAAAACACAGTAACTATACATTGGAGAAACTGAACACTACCTTGATCAGGTGATCAAAATTAGCATCACCAATAAGATGGACATTGTGTGCCCCCAATATCATACCATGATGACACAGTACCATCAACAGAGTATTCTCACCAAGAATGCATAACTTAAATCTGATTCAATGCTATAAAAGACCAAGGTGGCCATGGAAATGATCCAGAGTAAAGGAAACTTAAGGGAGGATAAATGAACAAGCAAACAATAAAATGAAGAGCGTAAATTCTGAACAATAGTTGAGTCTGGGTAAAGGACATATGGATGTTCCTTGCACTATTTTTATGCTTGCCAATTTTCTGTAAATTTGAAATTATTTCCATATAAAACGTTTAAATCAATTAAGACAGCTCAATAATGAGATGTCAATCTGTTTTGCCTAATAAGGTTTTTAAAAGTCATTTTTAAAAAAATTTACTGTATCTTTTTTTTAAAGTGTGGACAGTATTTCAAACATCAAAAACAGCAATAATCTCCATGATCCTTTAAAATGAGTACAGTTAGATCTATGAAAAAACAATCACATTGCTCTAATTTTTCTCATTTTCCTGTGGACCAGGGAGAGGTTTCTCAAAATGGTGTTTGGGAACTAATACCCTAAACAAGACTTATTTTCAGTAATAGAGGGAGTACAGTTCAGTGGAAAGAACATGGAATCTGGACACAAATTTAAACTCTGGCCCTAGCAGTTACCAGCTGTGTACCCTAAGCTCTGTTTCCTCAATTGTAAAATAGCTAAATCATAGGACTGTTAAGAGAATTATGTAAATGTAACTAGTGCTTGACACAGAGAAGGTGCTCAACAAATTTGTGTTTTCCTCCTCTTCCTTTCCTCTGAAGCCACTTTTCTGTTCTCTGGAAATGAATCTAACTGGGGCCACCCTGGCCTCCTTTTAATGCAAACTCAGCCCTGTTGGAAGGATCACGTAAGAAACTAAAGTACTCTAAGAATAAGCCTCCCTTGTGGAGGAATATTTCATGAAAGCAGAAGCCAGATGTAATGGACGGTGGAATGAAAATATGGAAAGCTTATAAAAACAGGTGATTTGAGGCATGTCTGGTAACTGGTTATTTTAAGGAGGGTAAAGACAGCAGAAGGAACGATGTTAGATGATGTTAGAAATGATGTTTAAAAAGTCTGCTGCAAATAAAACAGTGTCTTTTTTCTTCACATATACACAAGTCTATTCAGCAAATGATCACCCATCTACTTCAAAGAGTGAATGACAGTTTATGTCAAAAATAAATAAAGATCAACATTCTATTTGTTTTACTGGCTACATATCTTTGAAGAAAAATCAAGTCAGTAAAATGTTCATTAATTAAGAGATTTCATCCAATTGCCTTTTTTTTTTTTTTTTTTTTTTTTTGCTCCTTTCAATATATTTTCCATTTACATTTAACAGGATATTTTACTTTTATGGTGCCAATGATGATAATTCTTTAAAAATCTGTTTTTGGCCAGGTGCGGTGGCTCAAGCCTGTAATCCCAGCGCTTTGGGAGGCTGAGACGGGCGGATCACGAGGTCAGGCGATCAAGACCATCCTGGCTAACACGGTGAAACCCTGTCTCTACTAAAAAAAAAAAAACCCAAAAAACTAGCCGGGCGTGGTGCCGGGCGCCTGTAGTCCCAGCTACTGGGGAGGCTGAGGCGGGAGAATGGCGTAAACCCGGGAGGCGGAGCTTGCAGTGAGCTGAGATCCGGCCACTGCACTCCAGCCTGGGCGACAGAGCGAGCCTCCATCTCAAAAAAAAAAATCTGTTTTTTAAAATGGAGAAAAAATAAAATAACTGAGTTGCATAACAGCAAAAAAAATATACTGCCCACAGAAACTTAGTTTAACATCTAAAATCTTTATAAAAGATAAAGAAATTCTGATTCTTCCCTTTATTTTATAATTGAAAAATGAAACCACTTAACATGAACACTTGATACATTATTTCCTTAAAACTTCTCTATGGTGAAATAAAACTGTACCTAGTTGAAGAGTGTATAGAATGTTAACACTCATGACAATTTCAATCCAACCACTGATATAGCTTCAAATTACTATTAATTGTGGCTATTTTTTGGGGGGAAAAATGTGCAAAGCTTATGAGGGCCCAGTATACGAAAGGCTTAATTTTTAAGAGTCAAATCTACATTTGTAACAAGAGTTCAAAAAGTGGCATTATAGTGCAGAAACACTAGAAAATGCCATCTCTTACACATAAGTCTTTTAAAACAGGTTGGAAATCATATAAAAATACTCAGTACCTTATAAGTAATAATTAACAAAAATATTTCCATTGACTACTCTGTGTCCAAAGTGATTAAGGACAAAAATAGAAATTCTTGTTTCTTTATTATTTGATAAACTGCTGATAAGCTCCCGTTAGAAGTTTTTTAGACATTACACCAAGTTGTCTTGGTCTTCTGATCATATATATATATACACACACATATATATATATATGTACACACACATATATATATGCATTTTTTTCAAGTAAAGAAATGTTTAACAGATGTAAACTATTTATTGAATATTTGCCACCAAATATTGTTAAATACATTATCTTGCAGCATATCGCTTTCAAGTTAAAATGTCAGAAACAAACACCAATATTTACAATTCTTTTAAGGAATGTTATATAATGACACATTAAGGCGTAAATTCTTTTGGCTTATAATTCTTAAAAGAATGATAATAGCAAAAGTGATGCAAAATCTTCAGTGTGAGATTATGATTAAGCTACATTTTACAAAAATATGGTGTAAGATGGCAATAATCCCATTCAACATCCTGGATTAGATCCCTTCAGGAGGGACTGATAATTTATACAGTCAAACTTTAAAATTTACAGATAAAGGCAGTTCAATACTGCCACTGAGAAGTACATCTCTTAACATATACAACTTTCAGGCCACAGTTTTGAAGGTCTGAAGTATTAAGTTGGTTTGATGAATTAGTCGGTTGGCACTTATGAACACATTTATTGCCCTGTTTAAAAAGAAAAGAATAAGCATTAATTTCATCCAAAAAATTCACCCTTTTAAGATTTATACTATTAAAAGTAGCAATGAAATCAATTTAAGAAAAAAAAAAAAAGACAAGTTAGTATTGAGTATTAAAACTTTTATTCCAATTTAGGATTTAATAGTCTTGCATCATTTTAAACTATCTAGTAATTACTGCCCCCTGGTGGTTCTGACTGGCAATAAAATGTTGGAGGGCTGGTAATGATAGGTGGTGCCTCAACAACCCAGTTCATTTATAGGTGGAACAAGTTAACTGGCCAAAAGGAGGATTCAGATGTGGTCTCCAGCTGTGGTTTCATAGAAGTTAACAAGTAAAATCTAGCAAAGTATCATAATCTCAAAATCTGTAATTAATGGGCATAATTAATTAATGGGCATAATACTCAAGAAAAAGTTAGTTACTTCTAATCTGATTCATCCCACTTATCTCCTTAAAAAAGAGGTAGAAATTCTAAACGACAAACTACTACAAACTACTTTTACTATAAACATATTTTTACAACAAAATAATCATGCAGTTTCAAAATCTGGGAGCTGACAACATATAAAAATATATTCTTTAAAATTGGCTTTGAGCTCCATCCTATTCTCCTAATGGCTCATCTTCATGTGGCTGGAACACAGAGCTGACGCCCTAGTCCCATTGTGTGGCCTTAATAGTTTCCTAGTATCATATCTAGCATGTACCTGCATCCTAGACATTTCTCAAAAGAGAATGTCCAGGGACTGGACCCGGTGGCTCACACCTGTAATCCCACCACTTTGGGAGGCCAAGGTGGGTGGATCATGAGGTATCTCAGAGTTTGAGACCAGCCTGGCAAACATGGTGAAACCCTGTCTCTACTAAAAATACAAAAATTAGCCGGGCATAGTGGCATGTGTCTATAATCCCAGCTCCGGAGGCTGAGGCAGGAGAATTGCTTGAATCTGGGAGTCGGAAGTTGCAGTGAGGCCAGATCGTGCCACTGCACTCCAGTCTGGGCAACAGAGCAAGACTCTGTCTCAAAAAAAAAAAAAAAAAAAAAAAAAGAGAGAGAAGGGCCAGAAAGAAATGGATGCAAATTCATTTCTGCAAATCCATCCCCCTACTGAAAGATGGCCTAAAGATCAGGCTCTATCAATAATTTTCTGTTTTGAGGAAACAGGTATAAAACTCACAGCACATTACTGATACACAAATAACTGGAATTTTAAAAAGCTGCTGAATGGAGAGAAAGTATTAGCAAGGAGACTGCATCCATATGCAGAGTAAATAATTTCAATTAATTAATGAAAATTAGGCTTTAAATTAATGTCTACCTTTCATTGTGCTTATTCCGTAACAGTAATTTAAAATCAGAAACAATAATCCCATCATGTAAATTATTATTTTAATGTGTTTTTGGTTATTTGAGCTTAGCATAAATCAAGAAAAAAACAAGTTTATTTTCAAAACACAAATGCCAGCTTATTAAACTAAGTCATCAAGGAGCATTTCCCTTAGACAACCTGTGTACGGAACACCACCACAAAACAAATCATAAAATTTAGCTCAGTAATCTCTAATTTGTAATATAAATGTAAATACTTCAACCTGGGTGAACGGTTAAAAATGACTCTGAAAATTAACAGAATTCTATCTAATGTATTTTTATCATTTTAAATATTACTACAATAATACTGTAACGATGTGACATGAATATAGAGATCTTAAAACCTGTATAGTAGGATGGGATGATTGAGGTCTCTATTTAGATTACTTTTCTGACTTTAAGCACTGTTAAAAAATAATCTTGTTGAAAAAATTCTCACATTTGACATGAAGTGCAAAAAACTACCTATATGGCCAGACTTTGCATCAGCTTATACATTATACGTATGCATGTATGTATGTTAAAATATATAAAATCTCTTGGTTTTCTATAGTGCATTACAACCAATTATATGTAAATTAAAAACTAATGTATAATTTACATTTTAGTATATTTCCTATTTTATAGAATGATGCTGTGAAAGCCTCTTTCCAGGACAGTGGGTCAAAACCCTTACAGCCCTTTAAAAACATCTGGGGCACTTTTACAAAACATCTAAACCCTGGCTCCACTCCCAGCAACTGAATCAGAATCTCTGCAGGTGGGGCCTAGGCTATGGGAATTTTTTAAAAACTGTCCTCAAGTGACTCTATTGCACAGAAAGGATTGACAACATTGCTTTAACTTTAGTGCAGTAGTTCTCAATAGACCTGTAATGTCAGTATTATCTGAAAATTTCTAAGAAATGCAAATACCTGCTCCATCCTAGACCTGCGAAATCAGAAATTCTAGAAGTGGGACTCTCGAGCAATCTGCAATTTGAGCTGTAACACGTCCTCCAGATGACTCTGATGCTACTAATGTTTGAGAACCACTGTTTCAGGAGTGTATAAAGTAGGCCAATGAACTAAAATTGCTTTTACATTTTTAAATGGTAAAAAAAAAAAAAAAAAAAAAAATCAAAAGAAGAATATATGACAGGTAAAAATTATTTCAAGATACTGAAATTTGAATCTTGTATAAAGTTTTAGTAAAAAACAGTCACACCCTCTTGTCTGTATATTGTCTATGGCTTGTTTCTGTACTACAACGGCAGAGATGAGGTGGATAACGGCCAACAGGCCCACCAAATCTAACATATTTACTATCTGGCTCTTTTCAGAAAGCATCTGGTAACTCCTGCTGTAGAAAGGAGTTATAGCCAGATTAGCAACCACATTCATTTCCTATTGTTAGTGGAATGCCTTGAATATCAGTTGCCTGGAGTACTAATAAAGTAAAAGGGCTTAATTTATATGGTTTTCATACCATATAAAACCACATAATCTATTTAATTTTAAAAGTAAAGGATAAATTACAGTACTTACTTGCCATCTTTAAAATACGTTTTCAGAGTATCACTGAAACTTTTGGAGTACTTTACAAATTCTTTCTTTTGGTGTTCAAGTGCCTACAGCCACAAAATACAGTAAGAAAAAAAAAGTACTGAATAAGAGAAATAATCACAACAGCCAAAGGCAAGGACAGGAGATTACACAGGATATGGGATGCACTTTATATGAATATTACTAATAAGCAATTGTGGAATATTTACTTTTAAATAAAAAGGCATATTTAAATCCAAGAATAACTCAATGGTTAATGACACAAAACTATTTCCAACAATCAATCCTATTTTCAAGTCAATAAAACAACTAGGCATAAACCAGCATCTAGGGTGTCAGCTAGCAAGGCTTCTACTAAACGTACCCTGCGGTTCTGGTATTGATATTTCTTGAAGACGTTATTCACTGTATCAAGAAGTTCTTTTATTGCACTAGCTATATCCCTGTTGGGAAAAGAATAAAGAGTATCAGCTGCATTTGAAAGAAATTTGTGAGAGAAAACATCAGTTACATTTGAAAGAAATTAAGTACACTCTTAATCTAATCACAGTACACTCTTAATTATGGTAAGTGCACTCACTTCATGAATAGCCAGCCTTTTTGGCTAGCTGGTTGGAGTTGGGGTTTTAGCCTGTACCCCTCTGTAATCCTGATTCTCTTGCACTGCTGACCAAAGGTTGCCAACCAAAACCAACTTTCTCAAATCAATCACATTTCATTAAGCATTCCTTACTCAAATTTAGAAAAGGATAAACATTACCTATGTCTGTCTTTCCCCATTTTAAATTTTTCCTCTGCTCTAATGTAGCTAAATTCAAGCTACCACGTTCTCCACTTTTGTTATTTGAACAATGAACAATTTTATGATATTCTGCATGACATATAACTCAATTCTGTATTTAACGACGCTGTATGCTAGATACCTATTAGTTTTGATGTTTAACATAAAATATTTCCTCCTCAGAAAATACTCCTCTCCCCTGAGGAAATACTCCTCCTCCTTTACTCTTTTATAGACACTTTTAGCTTCTATCTAGCAACCAAATATCCTCCTCTTTCAAACACTTGCTGTCAGCCACTATTCCCTTTGGAAAATATAATATTTAAATTACTGGGGGAGACATCACCACAATATTCTTCCACTTTAACCTTTCTGGCAATCATCCTTTGACTATATATGCATCATCACCTCCCTCCCCTTTCAAAAGAAACAAAAGGAAGAAATCAATAATTCTCATTTGAGTGTTCTTCCTATCCACGCACCATTTTTTTCTGAATTTGTTTTATTTTTGCCTTTCTGTCTAGCCCCTTTTGATTTCCACATTTTAACCTCATGGCAATTTTTTTCTATCAAATTGAACTTTATGTAATTCTGCATTCTCAAACAGTCTCATTCTCTACGACAAACCTTTTTCAAAACCATTCTCTTAGCTGTTAGTCACAACAAAAACTTCAAATGCAATGCAACTGTGAAGAAATGAATAAGATAGAAATCTGCACCATCCTAAACATAACATTTTATTACTAATACTAATTATAAATGCCAGATTTCAGTTATTTCCTATCTAAAACATTTCAACATTCCTATTTCAAGGGGAAAAAATCCTCAGTGTCCAGGTTTCTGTGTGCATGTGGGTGTTTCCCAGCATGTTTTTCAGTAAATAAGCATGTAGAAATTTTAAGAATTAAAAGCATACAGAATTTTGATATTTTAAAAAAAGTATTTTAGAGTACTCCGAAGTAGTAATTACATTTTCATTAATTATTTCAATAATACTTATTACCTCTCTCAGGTCAAACACTGGTATTAGGCTGAAACACTGAAATATTACATATTCAAGTAGGACAATAAGTCTTACATAAATGCTATCTAATTTTTTTTTTTGCCTCTGGTTTAGTAATAGCAGTTTTTAATTACATAACTATTCCTTTCATTTATGGCTTAAGCAAGTTGAATCTTTGTATACTGGTGTGATGGACATAAACCCACCATTGTTTAATAAAATGCTGTCATAGGACTATTCTGTGAGAAAAATTACAATTTCAATAAACAAAAAATGTCAAATCTCCAAATATGCAAGCTTCTCCAAATCCACAATGGAGTTACTTAAAATGGAATATAATGGAGCAAATTACATAGTGATCAGACAGAAGTTTATACAGTCTCACTTTGTAGTGTATTTCAATATTCCACTGAAGAGGAATAAAACGTGTTTCCAGGGCTAGTCATCAAGATGAACATAAGTTTGATATGCAACGACAATGCCTGGATTCTACAAGTCAAAAGAGTGGGTCTGAAAAATGCTGCCTCATGCACCTAGGGAGACAGAAAGACGAGAGGAGAAGGGAGGGTTTTGCTGGACAAAAAAAGACAGACATGCTGATAAATACTGGAAATCTCTACTTTAAAAGGGGGTGTGAGGAGGCGCAACTCCTCAGGTGACTGCTGATGAGGCAGGTTTGAAAACTTGCAGCTAAGGTTTAACGCCTTATTGGAACACAGCTCTCTGTCAGCCAAGGCTGTTTATTCCTAAGCCTGGCCTTCTGTTTGGACATGAGGCAAAAGACTGTTAAATGCCTACCAAATTGTAGAAAAAATGTTCTCTAGAAACAATCTGCAGAATGTATGTCAAATATTATGTTATCCATATGTACACAGAAAAGTATTTTCATTTATGGCACCAAGGTGTGCACATAAGGAAGCTAAATTATCTTAGTAATTACCAGAGAGTTTGTTTCCTATAAGAGAAAATACTGTCACAAAAAAACCACTACAGACAATTAACCAGATAAAGAACTGAGAAAAAACTTGAGGGTAAAATAAATATCACATAACTAATGAATGCGGCTTGGTGCAGATGAATTCTGTGATAAGAGGCAGATAGTATGAGCAGGAGGAACTTAGCACCAACCTAATAGTTAGGGCAGCTGTGCAAAACATACACTGAAAGACAAAGCCTTCAGATGAAACGTAAACAGACATCTTATCAAAAAACTGCATGGAAAAGTAGTGTCTAATCATGCCACCCAAATGTGCATGATACGTGTTTATGCAAATCCGCTAATGAAAGGGAATCCCTGTGCTTTGAGTTGAGTTTGGTTTAGACTGGAAAACTCTGAAAAAATCTATTCTGGACCCTTCATGAAAATCCTAACTTAAAACAAATAAACCTTACTGAATTTTCACCTAAGAATATGCAAATGTAGATTACAAACAGTAAATAAATGCCTGGCTTTTTTATTTTGGTCTGTTAAATTACAAGTCTCCACTAGTTTTCCATTAGTTCAGATGTACTGGATTTCAAATTAATTTTACAAAACATTTGCATAGCTCAAATGTACTCAGGCACACACATTCACTGATCAAAAGGCCTTTTAAAATCCCAGCACTTTGGGATGCCGAGATGGGCAGATCACGAGGTCAGGAGATCGAGACCATCCTGGCTAACACGGTGAAACCCCGTCTCTACTAAAAAATACAAAAAACTAGCCGGGCGAGGTGGCGGGCGCCTGTAGTCCCAGCTACTCAGGAGGCTGAGGCAGGAGAATGGCGTAAACCCGGGAGGCGGAGCTTGCAGTGAGCTGAGATCTGGCCACTGCACTCCAGCCTGGGCGACAGAGCGAGACTCCGTCTCAAAAAAAAAAAAAAAAAAAAAAAAAGGCCTTTTAAAATATTTGCTGGATCATTTTTCCTAATCAACTCCGTTGAGAAAAGGGAGGAAAATTCTCATTTCACAACGCTATTATAGCATGTACTGTTGAATGTATGCTAGGTTCTGTGCTAGGCACTTCATGTACATCATTTCTTTCAATTCTCCCAAGTCATTATCCTTACTTTCAGAGGCACAAACTAAAATGACAGAAGTTAAGCAACTTATATCCAAGGTTACATAGCTAAATGTTGGAATGGAGATTCAAATCTAGGTCTGCTAATATATTCAAAACTGCCTGAATATTTATTAGGTGTCAGGAATCTTTTTTACTTGTACTTTGATACAATCTACAGCATCACCTATAGTACTTGGTGTAATATGTGTATGACATATGCTTACTGAAAAATGTTGCTAAAGTGAATAAAGGGGATAACTACCTTAGATACAAGAAAGTAAAATATTTGAGAAATGCCTGAAGGAGAAATAATTTTCTATCTTGGTGCAATTTTATCCACTAATTTGTCAATTAATAGTGGTAAGAACATATATGAAAATATACCAATATATGACAGTATACAAATAATTATACCTTAGCCTATCTATGCTATTCATATGTGGTTGAATTTTAGTCTCAGAAATAACATACATATCAACAAACTTGCCAGGGTAAATTATCCCTCCTCAAATGGTTAGGAAGTAAATTTTCATTGCCACCATTACCCTTAATTCAATCATGCTAAATGAGTACACTCTAGACAACAGAACTGAAGTATTATTACTCCCTCATAAATGAAACAACATCCTACAGAAAGTCTCTGTCAATGATTATGGACAAGACTCTTAAGCTCAATTTCCTTATGACTAAAATGTGCTGTTAATAATGTGGTTTTCAAACGGTAGCTCCCTAGAGTCACAGTTTAGCAGAGATGTCTCAGGGACTCTGTAGGGGGAAAGAGGATGTCAAAGTGACAGGATGAGGGCTCTGGGCCTACATTTCTATCTCAGCTTCAACCACAACACCGTTATCTCTCTCATGTACTGGCATCCTATGTTAAAATATCCTTTATCACATTTCTTTCAAATGGCAGAAACTTTATTTTTCAATCTCCAAATTAGATCAACATTGTAAATCGATGATTGGGAAACAGCAGTGAACTTGGCGTTAGGTTGCCTGGGTTCAAATCCAGCTCTACCACTTAATAGGTAAGGTCTGTGGCCTTACCTAATTTTCTGTGCCTGCTTCAATTTCCTCACTTGTTACTGGGTTGTTGTGATAAGTAAATATATGTAAAATGATTAAAATAGTGCTTAGCATATAATAAGTACTATATAAGTGATTGCTATTAAGATGACATTGATTATATAAATGTACTTTGATGATGTGAAGCAAAATCTGCTGCAAATATTATTTTAAATGTCAAATCTTCATAGAAATGTATCATGGCTCATCAACAAGTCCATGATTATCAAAGCAAATGAAAACTTACCAAATTATTTGAAAACTTTAGAAATAAATAGTCTAAACAATCAAGTTTGGGATCATTGACTTTATCCTTTTACAGGCCAAACATATTTACTTTATACAGAGCGAGTACCCCTTAAATGAAATGCTTGAGACCAGAAGTCTTTAGACTTGGGGATGAGGCCCAAGTATAAACATGAAATTCATTTATGTTTTATAAAGTGCATCCATATATGCATATATGTTGTGCATAAAATAAAGTTTTGATTGTGTTTTGCCTACAATCCATCCATCACATGAGGTCAGACGTGGAATTTTCCACTTATGGTGTCATGTCACGGTGCTCAGAAAGTTTCGGATTTTGGAGCATTTAGAATTTCTGATATTCAAATTAGGGATGCTCAACTTGTACCAGATTAAAAATAAAACTCCATAAACAGTGGATTACCTTCCCCCTTCACATATTAAAAGCAGAAAAGGAAGCTGGGGCTTTCCTATAGGAAAGGTAGAATACAAAAAAAACCCCATAGGCTGGGTGCGGTGGTTCATGCCTGTAATCCCAGCACTTTAGGAGGCCGAGGTGGGTGGCTCACAAAGTCAGGAGATTGAGACCATCCTGGCTAACACGGTGAAACCCCGTCTCTACTAAAAATACAAAATATTAGCCGAGCATGGTGGCGGGCACCTGTAGTCCCAGCTACTTGGGAGGCTGAAGTAGGAGAATGGTGTGAACCTAGCAGGTGGAGCTTGCAGTGAGCCAAGATAGCACCACTGCACTCCAGCCTGGGCGACACAGCAAGACTCGGTCTCGAAAAAACAAAAACAAAAACCCAACAAACAAATAAAAAAATCCTTAGGGTTTGTCCCTTGTGACACAGATTTTGGCTATTCAATTAAAAGCCTTTTTCACATTCCTGGTACTTAATTATTGTCAAAGAGTAGGGTCATTCCTTGATAGCTGGGTGGCATACCTATCACACACCATTATTTTCTAGGGGACATATTCCTCTCTTTATGTGACTCAAAAGATAGTATCCAAACTAGCTAGGTATCCAAACAAGCTAAAATAGCATTTCTCAATGTGAACGACAAAGAATACTATTTTCAAAAGATGAATGTTTTCTTTTTCTTTCATAATTGAGATTTTATCTGTTGTGTTGAGGATCAGTACACAGACATTTCAACTTGTACACAATTCTGAACATACGTACTGCAAAATCTAAAAAGCCACGTATCCTTATTATTCTTTAAAGTTATTCCAGTGACTTTCCAGCTTACAACTGAGGCAAAATTTCCTTCAGAGGCTATCAAGTACCAGTACCTTCAAATGTTGATAAGCTGTCACATACATCCCACCAATTCACAATTTAATAGCATATACACTATATACTTTAATCTTTCACAGCACATTAACAAAATTATTAGAAAAACAGGACTACCATGACCAAAGATGTTACAGAGTGCACACAATTCTGAAAGGGAGAGCCAGGCTCAAGGAGTGGTTTGCCCAAGGAAATAATTCCACTAAAAAACAACAGGAAGAAGTAATTTAAGGTCAGGTGTGGTGGCTCTCTCCTGTAATCCCAACACTTTAGGAGGCCAAGGCAGGAGGATCACTTGAGCTTTGAAGCTGGAGACCAGCTAGGGAAATGTAGGGAGACGTGGTATCTATTAAATATCAAAAAAAAAAAAAAAAAAAAAAAATTAGCCTAGTGTGGTGGTGTACACTAGTAGTCCTAGCTACTCAGGAGGCTGAGGTGGAAGGATTGCTTGAGCCCAGGAGGTTGAGGGTGCAGTAGGTTATGATCACGCCACTGCAGTTCAGCCTGGGTGACAGAGTGAGTAATTAAAAATGTTCAAGACATTAAACGCAGCACTGCAACTCCACTTTGCCATTTAGTATGCTTTGTATTATGGGATATAAAAACTAACCACCCATTTATGGAATGTTAAGCTGACACCCATAACAATCAAGGCTTCCCATAATTCAATATCCAACATTATTTTCTCATTGTACCAAAAAATAACCACAAATTACATTATTTCACCTCTTAAAAAAAAAAAAGCATTTACACCGAAAAAATGGGATGAGGTGGAATTTACTCCTTAAATGTTTCTAGAGTTACTAAAAAACTTGCATTTACAACATAGTTGATAAAAATATTCCTCTGGATTATGTAAGAAGAGAGACGGGGAACCACTGATAAGACATGGTATGCGATATTAATCAGACTGGGCTTCTTTCTCTCCTGCTTCAGAGGCTGGACTCTCTTCAGTTTTAGTTTTTCTGTTTTCCGCAGGTAAATATTCTTGGTTAGCCACTTTGGCCTGTTTTCACTTTGCTATTCTTTTCTTTTGTTTGCGCTTTTTTACCTGAAGATTTATCCTATCCTGCTACCCTTTGGGGATTCATTTCCACTACTGAAAGAGCAGGTTTAGCTGACAACCATATCCATCTCCTTCTGGGCTTTTCCTTCACTGTCCTGTCAGCTGAGCTGACAGTCCTCTTGGGCATCCTGGAAGTGGGGAAGGCACATATCGGATGCATGTGGGCCAAGGCATACTGAGGGCCTTCATGAAGCTGGGCTGCCTGGCTGCTGCCACTCCTCCCACTGCCCAATCTCCAAAAGATGAATGTTACTATTTATTCCAATTGAGTCTCCTTAGGTTCTTCAAAGTTACCAAATATGTCAGAGCCTCTTCCAGAAAAAGACCTGTGCTAAATCTCCTTCCCAGTAATATCCACCTATGGTTTCACCAAAACCATGCACTGATAGTGACACTGCAAGTATTTCCAGCTTTGTTTTCTATTCACTGAGGCTGAAGAAAATTATCATACTCTCTAGTTTAAAGATACTTATGTAGGGATTATGTTTTCACCCAATCCCCTACCCTCTCACTCCTCACTGTACTCCAGGAGGGTGTCCCGGGTCTGAGAACTACTTCTCTAGGATGACCCTTCTGCCTGCTGCTCACCAGCCAGCCTCCTGGCCCCTGCATATTCTTGGTCTTATTTAACCTATATCCCCCAAAGGCAAGGATTTAGAGGCTACTTGGTCAGTCTTAGAAAATGCTACTCATGCCTAAGAGTACATTACTTACGTTAATGACTGCTGCCATTTCTGAAATAAAAACAATTTTGGTATCTCTTACTACCAATCTCTAGGATATATCCAGTTTCTCCATTTATCTGACATTTATATTTTCCCATCATTTATGTAGTTCAAACTACATTCCAGTTTACGCACATTTCATTATTGTTTTAAAATTAAACATTCTAAAAAATGTTGTACTCTGAAACCAAATGCCATAAAGTTAATAAAATGCAGTATTTAACAATTCGAGATTTTATTTCAAATTAGCATTTCAAGTTAATGTCATACCAAAATTAAAAAATGTAGATGAATAGTTCCTTGGAAGTACTTTTAAGAAAAGAAACAAAACAAAAAATTGCTTACTTGATTGTCTGCAGAAACCTCACTCTGTCATTGATCTCATCTGGGATCTTACTGAGAATTTGTTTAAGTGCTCGTGCCTTTTCGTTTAGGTCTTGGAATTCTGGCTCTGGTCGCTCAATCATATACTCTGAAAAAATAAATACATAATAAAAAACATCCTGCGACTCTGCCAAATTCACTTCTAAGAATTCTCAATGTTGGTCAAAGGCAGGTGGGGGAGGTGAAAGGCCAGATAAATAGGAAAGACAAGGTTGCAAAGTAGAATTCATTAACATTCGACTTAGTCCAGTAATAACAGCAGGGCTCCCTTCAAGTAAAGTATCAGAAAAAGAAAATACAAATATTTTCAATTTGGGATAAAAGGAAATCCCATGAAATCTTAAAAAAAAAAAAAAGCAAACAAACAAACAAAAAAACAGATTGAAAAGGCAGGCTTTACATTTCCCAAGGAAACCTTAAATTAAATAATGAGTGTCATAACTAGCGCAAAGGTAATATCTACTTTCCAATTAGAAAGATTAAAAATTCTAAACCCCTATATTAAATATACATTGCTTCATTATATTAAAACCCCAAATAATCTAATAAAATCTTCTACATATTCTTGAAATCTCACTTAAAAACAAAAACATTAGCACAAATCCAACACACGGGCTGGGATCACAGAACAGCAGTTTTGGAAAGGAGGTTCAATCAGACTTTACCAGATTCATTGCAGACTTGGAAGCATTACAAATCTACCAATTCATCAATATATAATGGCCTAATGGGCTGCAAATGCTCAACTCTAAATAATGATAAGGGCTTTTTTATAATCATGGAATCAGTTAAAATATCTGCTTTTTGTTCTCCCTTAATAATTATGGGAAATCGTGTGTCCACGTTTTTCTAAATTAGTGGGAGAACTTCTACTAAAGTAAAACCAATGTCTAAATAATTTGAAGTAAAAAAATAAGAAAAGCATGGTTATATTGTTCCCTTAAATCTGTGCTTAAAAAAAGATGCTGTACTAAAGTTAAAAAAACAAGCAAACAAAAACCTCATTACTTCCAAACTATTGTTTGCTTAAAGTCAACACATTCCAAATAGCTTTACTAAAAGGTTTTTAGTAAAACTGAAACTCATCAAACATAAAGGGGGGAAAAATTAAAGAATGAGGTATAAACAAAGTTCAAGTAATTAAATCTCACAAATATAAAAAGCAAGAAAAACAATTTTTCTATTTTATCTAGATTAGCTTCTACTCCTACTTCTACTATTACCACCACCACCACCACCACCAGCATCATCGTAAGTAAAGGCAGGCGGGGGGTGGGGGGGGGAACAGTAGGGAAGGAAGTTCCTTTAGTCAAATAATAATGATTTAGAGGAAGTGCTATTCAACAATTGTATAATTTAAGCAAGGTTCTTCTTTCTGATACCTTCTACATCATCAGCTGCCATACGAAGAAGGGATTCCGTGAAGTTAACTTCTACACTTTTTTTCTCTAAAATTTTCATAATGATGTCTTGTGTGAGACCTGGATTTTCCTTTTCAGCCTATAATAAAGAGAAAACTAGTTTTGAAATACAGATAAGGAATCAACATTTTAAAGCCAAAGTTTAACTGTTTAGAATCTTTTGGGAACGTCTTACACTGATAAGTTTTAAGGGCAGAAATCTTTGTAAAGCAGGTGTCATGATGGCATTCACTAAGGCTTTGTTAGAGCTTGTGCACCCAACTCTTTATTATGACTAAGGTTCCATTTTCCATTTGAATAGAAAGAACTTAGTATTTTCTATACCTTCTTTACACTCTCTTGCAATTGAATTAATAAAGATATATGGATTAGATATGTTTTAGTAATCTATCAATTACTATTCTCATTACTTGAAATATCTTGAGAATTTTTTAAGCTTTTTTTTTTTTTGAGACGGAGTCTCGCTCTGTCGCCCAGGCTGGAGTGCAGTGGCCAGATCTCAGCTCACTGCAAGCTCCGCCTCCCGGGTTTACACCATTCTCCCGCCTCAGCCACCCGAGTAGCTGGGACTACAGGCGCCCGCCACCTCGCCCGGCTAATTTTTTGTATTTTTTAGTAGAGATGGGGTTTCACCGTGTTAGCCAGGATGGTCTTGATCTCCTGACCTCGTGGTCCGCCCGTCTTGGCCTAATGCACTAATATTGCAATTCAAGGATCAAGCAATAACCCATCTGACTAGCATTTTGCATATTCTTTTCATTTATATTAAGAGAATGCCAGGAAAAATAAAAAAGGATTTACTTCAAAGGTTTTACTGAACCTATATAATAATATCTTAACTATTTTCCCACACAATGATTTTCATTTCCTAGTTTATTTTTGTAGCAAGAATATTTCCTTCACTGGTTTCTAGAACATCATTAAACTTTTACTACCTTTTGAGCTTGTTTCATTGAGTTTGCATTGGTTCTATGTTACTTAGACTTAGACTCCCCAGGACACTAAAATTTTGTAGCCATTTCAAGACTCTGCATAGAGTTCTCAGTTTACCAAAGCCAGAGTTAATTTTCAGATTTCAGTTTTTCCCAGTAAATTCTGTAATCACATTTGATGTTTGTTTCCTTTAGGAAGCCTGCCAATTTTAATCATTATGCTGATGAATTTCCTTTTTGCCCTAATATTAAACAACAAAATAGAAACACAATTTACGATCTTAATCAGAAGACAATCTTTTTGTTTCCTTATGTGTCAAGCACACTTAACCTCTGCCTCTTCAATTCCACTGATTATCACTGCAGATACAGTTTTCTTCTCTTCCTACTGCTCTTTCCATTATAACATCTTGCTTCTCATTAGATCTCAAGTATCAAAAACTGAAGGGTCGTGGGATGAAATGAGAAAAGACAATACAAGCATTTATCTCAATCTCAATCCTGGGATCATTTTAAATGCTGTCAAATACTATTCAGGAAAATCATTTTGATTTTGATAAATGATTAATAACAATAAACTGTGTCTGACTGAACCCTGTTTCTTTTATAGCCTATGATGACTTTTCCTTCCACGTATATTTCAAAAAGAATCTATTTTTTAGCCAGGCATGGTGGGGTGTGGCTGTGGTCCCAGCTACTTGGGAGGTTGAGCCCACGAGTTCGTGGCTCCAGCGAGCTATGATCATGCCACTGCACTCCAGCCTGTGATACAAAAATGACCTGGTCTTAAAAAAAAAACAAACAAACAAAAACTATGTTTTTTTTTTTAAAAAGGAGTTTCCTTTACAAGATGTCCAAATATGGCTTAAGATGTGTTGTTATAGCATTAATGTGGTGAACTGCCACAAAATTACATCTAATGTAGCATTCGGTAACAATATTTTATCTTATCTAGCAATAAATCTACCTACATAATGAATTACCTTGGGGAGAGGAGGACCATTCTCTATGTGCTTGTAGAACGAAAAAAGAAAAGCATTATTTCTGATTAAGTTATAATGAAGTACTGAAAGGTTTAAATGCTGAAAGTCTGAGAATAAAGTTTTCAATACCAAGTTGCTCTGGAACCCCAAAATGCTAAAGCTAGATCATTACCAAAGTCTCGCAGAGGTCCCTAACTTTCTCAGTTTTCAGCAGCCTTAGTGCCAAAAGATATACCTCACAGTGCTGTTTATTAAATACTTAGCTCCAAACAACTTAATAAGTATAATGTCCTAACTACTTGGCCTTTAAAAAAATAATACACATGAATTGAAAAAAAACTTTTTACTTCGTTCTTAAATAACTACCATCACTTATTACTGGGATGTGTGTGCCTACTGGGCACTTCACAATTTCTCAAACACTGGTCTTAGATCGGACCTTGCCACTCTCATTTCCTCTTGCAGATGTATTTTTTTTCTGGTACTTCTGTTAGATCATAGCACAGGCCAAAAAAACTCCAGCTTCTCAACGATCGAACACCAAGGAAAGCAGGGTAGGACAATCCAATATGCTGAACTGCAAACTATCTCAAGCTAGGAGTCCATACAATGTCAAACAGATGTTGAATACCACCGCACACCTTCAAAATTTTAAAATACTTCGTGGCACCCGTCTGAATTTGCTATGGGCCACCAGGTACCTCAGTACATAGTTTGGAAGGAGTAGTCTTAGTACCTCCTGGCTAAAAACCTGGTTAAGCTAATTCTTATTTTAAAAGCTTGAATTTACCAAATGCCTCTGATTGACAAAATGAGTAAATATGCTCTCATATCAGAGAGACAATCTATGCCTCTAGGTTTTCCCTCAGAATACAATATGAACCCTGTAGGGTGTCTAATCTTTGTAAAGAATCCAGCTGTAAGAAAAAAATAAACCATAGGGCAGTAACATACACTCTTTTGGATCAGTGATTCTCAACCTGGAAGATGGACAACCTATCGGAACCTCTCAGAGAGGATAAGGGGGAGAGGGAATCAAGTAGAATATAGCTGACCCTTGAAGAACTGGTTTTAACTGCTCAGGTCCACTTACATGCAGATACTTTTCAATAAATATACAGGAAAAATTTTTGGAGATCAGCAACAATTTGAAAAAACTTACAAACTGAGTAGCCTATAGTGAAAAAAATAATAAAAACATGTTATGAATGTATAAAATATAGGTATGTACTAGTCTATTTGAGTGTTTACTATCATAAAATAGATACAAATTATTAAAAAGTTAAAACTTATCAAAACTCATATGCAAACCCAGACTATATGGTGTTATTTGCAGTTAAAAGAAATATAAATATACAGACAAAATATTAAATCATAACTGCACAAAATTAACTGTAGTACATATGTATATGTAGTAATTTAGAAGCTACCTCCTGTTGCTATTGCAGTGAGTTCAAGTATTAGTAAGTATATGATTAAAACGCTGTGTGACTCTAATCATCTCCATGTGAACAGTTGATCTCTTCAGCAAACTGCACATCCCAGTACAAAGTAATACCTCCCAGGCCTCACAAATTTTTTTCATCGTGTTTGCTGCAATACTCTAAACATGGAATAATACCATGGGACCCAACAAAGTGCCAGTAGTGATGCTGGAAGTGTGCTCAAGAAACAAAGTCACAACATTACAAGAAGGTGAAATGCATAATACTGAATTGCTTGAATCCAGCCTAAGACTCACTGTAAGAAAAAAAAAAAAAAAAAGGAAATTCATGAAACAAAGTCATTGCTGCAGCTTCATCAGCAGGTTCAAAAACCTTGCATGTTTTGTGAAATACCTTTTTGTCTCCTGTTGAAAATGCAGCTTTTATGTGGGTGCAGGATATCTATAAGAAAGGCATACCTATAGACCTTAATATGACTCAAGAAAAAGCAAACTCATTCTATGACAACTTAAAGCAAAAGTAAAGTCTAAAGCTGAAAAATTTAATGCCAGCCAAGGATAGTTAGATAATTTTAGAAAGAGGTTTTGCTTAAAAAATGTCAAGATAACAGGACACACAGATTCTACTGACCAAGAGGCAGAAAGTAAGTGGCCACACACCAGTAAGAATATCTTTGAGGAAAAAAAATACCTGCCTGAAAAGGTTTTTAATACAGATCAAAGCGCCCCATTCTGAAGGAAAAGACAGCCACAAAGAATATTTATTAGTAAAGCAGAGAAGTGAGCACCAGAATTTAAGGCAGGAAGGGACAGGACAACGCTACTGTTCTGTGCAAATGAAGTTCAGTTTATGATCAGGACTGCCCTTATTTATAATGCTGCTAGACCCTCGAGCCTTGAAGGGAAAAGAAAAACACCAGCTTGCAGTCTTGTGGTCGTACAAGAAGACCTAGACAAAGAGAACTCTTGTTCTAGGCTGGTGCCATCAATGCTTTGTTCCTGAAGTTAGAAAGCATTTTGGCAGTAAGGGATGGTCTTTTAAAGTTCTTCTGATTGTGTATATATATCTATAGGGATACTTATATATCTCTAGATAGATTGATATCAGATATATATTAGAGCTATCATATAGCTATCAGAGATATCTACATATGCATACACATATATATACACATATATATGTGTATGCATATGTATATGAATATGTATATTTAATTAGAGACAAGGTCTTTCTATGTTGCCTAGGCTGGTCTTGAACTTCTGGCCTCTAACCTCACACTTTGGCCTACCAAAGTGCTAGGATTACAATGCACGGGCCTCGGCGCCTAACCTTTCTTTTACTATTATTGTTGTTTAAAAAATTTCTTCTGATACTGGACAATGTCCCTTGCCTCGCGGAACCCCACAAGTTCAACACTGAAAGGTGTCAAAGTGGCCTATTTGTCCCAAAACACCACACCTCTAAATCAGCCTCTACATCAGGGGATCAAGAACCTTTAAGGCTCATTATACATGGAACCATAAGGCCTCTATGGAAAGGGCTGTCAACAATCCTTGGTAGAAAGAACATCATGAAAGTCTGGAAGAATTACACCATTGATGCTATCGCTGTTATAGAAAAACCCATCGAGCCTAAAACAATAAATTTCTGCTGGAGAAAACTGTGTCCACACGTTCTCCACGACTCCATAGGGCTTACAACAGGGACATGGAAATCATGAAAGAGATTGTAGATACGGTAAAAATGGTAGAGGATGAAGGGTTTCAAGATACGGATATCAGAGAAATTTAAGAACTAACAGACGATGAGGAAGAAGACAAAGAAGGAGTGCCAGAAAACGAATGGACATTAGACAATCCAGCAGAAAAGTTCTATTTATTCAAGGCTGCTTTATGACATGGACCATTCTATGATATGAGCACTGAAACCAAGGCAAATGCTGGAAGATTGGTACTGTACAGAAACATTTTTAGAGAAATGACATAGCATATAAGTCAGAAATTAAACATATTTCTGTAAAGTTACACTAAGCGTGCCTGTCTCTCTTGCCTCCCCATCCACCTTCTCTACTTCTGCCATCCCTGAACTAGCAAGACCAACCCCTTCTCTTCTTCCTCCTCCTCAGCCTATTCAATGTGAAAATGACAAGGATGCAGACTTTATGATGATCCACTTCGCTTATAAATAATAAACATATTTTCTCTTCCTTACAATTTTCTTAATAACATTTTCTTTTCTGTAGCTTAAGAATACAGTATGTAATATATAGGATACACAAAATATATGTTAACTGTTTTTGCTACCAGTAAGATGTTCTGGTCAACAGTAGGCTTTTAGTAGTTAAGATTTTTGGAAGTCAAAACTTATACTCAAATCTTCAACTCTGCAGAGGGTGGGCACCTCTAACCTCCACGTTGTTCAAAGGTTAACTGCATATATATTAAAATATTCAACAGTATTATCTTGGGGAAAAAAACTATTTTAATCCTCTTTTTCCTCCAAATAACAAAAAGTATGATGAAAATTATTGTTGTTGTGGACCAAAAATTGGAAGTATGAATATAATAGATTTCATGACTGGTGAAGTTTCTTTCATCTTTTTCAAAAGTTGTAATTTAAAAAATACAAACATCTTTACATTTTTAACACATGTCTTCCTTCAATTTCACTTGAAATGTAATAAACTAAATGTGATAATTAAAAACACATCAGTGCAAAATTAATTTGTTTTCTTCCAAAATAAATAATCTATGCCACGGACAATAAACTTTATCCATGGATCAAACCACATCTATCACGGTCACATAATTGTACTTAAGTGTTAAATCATTAGCTTATATGTTAGGATTTACAAGAAAAACCCTCATGAAATTTATTATTTTATAAATGTCACTGAAGATACTATCTACTCCTTCGAACAGGGTCTTCTTCTCTCTATTCTTGGTATTAGAAAAGCTGAAATACTGACTTTTGTCTTAGCAAAACTACTGTACAGATTACTTTTCCTTCTTCTTTTGGCCACAAAGATGCTTAAGATAGCATCATGCCCCCCTAATGATCAAATATGCCATTCCAAAGTCAAACTGAAACTCAAAGAAGAAAACAACAACAACTAAAAAAAAAGAAAATGATTATGGTGTTGCTTCATTTACCCAATGATTTGGCAGGATGCAATTTAATGAAGCTACTAAATATATATGTACTCACCTTGAATCACAGGGTATAGAATCAAAAAAGCTCTATTGTAACATAGATTATTGTGGTAATATGAGATTCCTAGTGACATGAGCTGTGCTATCAGAAAAGAATGTTATCAATAAACTTGTGTGACATAAAATAAATCAAGCTGAATGGACTTATAGTTTCAATTCCAATTAAAATACAAACGTATTCCACATTTAAACATTAAAATACCTAAAACACAGGTTATTTAAGCTACTGATGGGAAGAAATACGAAAATAAAAATTAAAGTTTTGGGCACCATGATATATATTTGGGATGGAGGACCAGATGAAAGTTTTATATTAAAGAATGCATTCAACATGTATAGTAAGTCTCTAGAGTAGGGCTTTACAACAGAAATGTAATTATCAGCAACAACGATGAGCATTAAGCAGCCACATTTAAAAAAAAGTAAAAAGACACAAGTAAAATTATTTTAATAGTATATCCAAAATATTATCATTTCAACAAGTATTATAAAATACTTATTACTAAGCTAGTTTACTTTCTTTTTCTTACATGAAGTCTTCAAAATCTGTGTGTATTTTAACTTGGAACATATCTTGATCTGACCTAGTCTTATTTTAAATGGTCAAAAGCAACATGTGGCTAGTGATAACCCACTGAACAGCTCAGGTCCAAAGACAAGGAAATAATTTATTTTGAGTGACTTAACTGTATATCCTCAAAGTATATTTAATTCACCATATTTGAAGGTACACATTTTTTAGACTCATGTTCTATAATTAAACAATAGAAAGAATACCTTTTCAAGTTACACTTTTACAAATACTTTTAAATTTTTACTTTATTTTGAGACAGGGTCTTGCTGTGTTACCCAGGCTGGATCACAGTGGCACGATCATGGCTCACTGTAACCTCAAACTCCTGGGTTCTAGCAATCCTCTGGCCTCAGCCTCCTGAGTAGCAAGAACGACAGGCATGCGCCACCATGCCTGGCTAATATTTTTATTTTCTGTAGATAGATACAGGGTCTCGCTATACTGCCCAGGCTGGTCTTGCTCCAGGTCTCAAGTGATCCTCCCACCTCGACCTCTCAAAGTGTTGGGATGACAAGCATGAGTCACCACGCCCAGCCATGTAAGTTTTCAAAAGGTCAAATAATAGAAAAAAAAAAAACCCTCAAAAATATAATCTACAGCTAAGAAGAAAATGCTCTGAAAAAGTCAGTTTCAAAAGCACAAAGTGATGAAAAGATGCATGTTAACGAAATAACATTTGTTCTAGTTTATCTTTTGGAAGTGTTTTAAGCTTTATGGAATATAGTAAAACAGGCATAAGATGGCTAAAAAGGCTTTCACTAAAAGAAAAATAAACTGGCAACCATCACATGTACTTATATTTACAAAGAACATACACTTTAATAATCATAATAAATTATTTGCACTTCACCTTAATGAAAGCGGCTCTCAGTGTCTGGGCTGCAGACAGATTTACTCGTTCTAGCTGCAATAAAAATTTAAAATTATTAAGAATATCAACTGTCTTGGAAAAAGCACATTTCTGAGATTCCATTCTGTAACAATCACATGAACACATTAAACATTTAATCAACATTCTTGTTAATAATTGCACATCACCATAATTCTTCAATTAGGCTATCAAAATTTTTAATGAAAAAATACATGTCCTTAAGTTTTTATAAAAAACTAAAAGCAACCCATATGCTTTTAATTTTTATATCAAATATGTGAGGTTTATAATTTCAAAAGATTAACATCCTTACTAAACACATTAATTCAATTTTCAGCAAACCACAGGCACAGAATTTCATAATTTCATAAAAATAATTCCATTTGTAAACAGTTAACTGCCAGGCTCAAAAAACCTAGCTTCTGTTAAATTCTGATTTTTTCAATCCTTAAGGATTGAGTTAGTTAACTCAATAAAACTCAATTGTATATATTTTTTACTTGGGACAATATTAAATTGGAAACTAACCTATATAGATTTTTACAAAGTAGAGTATTTCTACACAAACCTTATAAACATGTATCATATTATGCAATAAAGCCTTCCCTTGAGGCAACAAAAGTGTAAGTTTTGCTTCAGAAATCTCCTGTATGGGATCTCTAACACGTTAAGTCAATTTATTTTCTAAACTAGACAGTTACAAATGCCAAGAACCTTATCTCCCTACAAATTATTCACCTTAAGCACAAAGCAAAAGCAACAGAATCTGACAAGGTAATTTATCTGCCAAAAAACAATGAATCATTTAGCTTAACATTTAACATGACTACTAACAAATCTTGTAAAATCTAATATTGCCTCAGTGGATAAAAAAGAAGGCATAAAGAGCCCAGTAAACAAATGTAGAAAGAAACAACTATATAAGTAGTTTATAATTAACAAAGACATGTTTCCAAAAAATGAAAAAAGTTTCCTACTTCCAAGTAATTAATATAATTATATAGTGACTATTACTAAGATTAAAATAACAATATAGCTCATTAGATCTCAAGTTCTTGTTATGCAAGAGAGGCAGGGACAGATATAAAGAAATGAATGTTTCCGTTTTGATAGGAACCCATTTCCTTTGTTAGGTTTACACCACACTCTGACCTCTTTTAAAAAGGTCTGAGTCAGCTGTGTGCCTTCAAATATCAGTGTTATTAGTTCATTCTGCATAGCGCTGAATGGTATGTGAAAGGATCCAGAGAAGTAAAAGTGCCCAGAAAAGTTCATCAAGAGCTAACAGGATTACCTGAGATAGATATCAGCATCTCTAGATTTCTAGACTCATTTTACTTATGTGAACCTTACAAAAAAGTAAGTCACAGGAAGGCCAGACATATACTAAATCAAAAATGTGTGAGCTGAGAAGCACTTCAACAAAATTCTGCTGGAGTCACTTGGAGATACACTGCAGTCATGCATCACTTAATGATGGGGATGGATAGGTTTTGAGAAACATGTCATTAGGTGATTTCATCATTATGTGGACATCACAGATTGTACTGACATAAACCTATAGGGATAGCCTACCACACACCTAGGCTATATGATGTAGCCTACTGTGTCTAGGCTACAAACCTGATATTTACTGAACTGACTACTATAGGCAACTGTAATAATGTATTTGTGTACGTAAAAATGAAAGAGGTAATGTATTGTGCTACAATGAACAATGGCTTTAACATCACTTGGTGAGAATAATTTTTCTGCTCAATTATAATCTTATGGGACAACCACCATATATGCCATCCATCTACCACTGACTGAAATGTTGTTATGTGCCACGTGACTGCATATACCCATAGGCCTTACAATAAAGTCAAAAGGCTTTCTTACTCATATGGTATTGATATATCCATGGTGTCCAGGACAGTACCAGGCATATCTATTGTCTGAACTGAATTTAATCTCTCATCCATAAATTTATCTAACTGTTCTTAAATCTATTTATAATTTCAGCCTGTACTAGTTAGGTAGAAAGATATGTTATCTTCTTCTCCATTTTACAAAGGAAGAAACTCAGTTTGACTCTGAATCCTGTATACAAGCCACTAACTCTACCCTGACTCCCCCTGTACTCACTCTTCCAGACTGGAGTCCACCCTGTCATTGAATCTCTTCAACCTGTTTCTTTAAGGACCAACACATTCTTGAATTCCTACCATGTACTTGAGTTCCTACATGTACAACATGAAGCAGCTATATGAAAAGTGGAGTAACTGCTATCAGTTGAAGCAGAAAGAAGTCTTTATAAATATGGGATTTGAACTGATCTTTAAAAAGTATGTTCTTGGCCTCTTAAAATCATCCTCCTGGTGAGTTCTCCCACTTAGAAGTTTCTTCAGAGTTGGTAACACATGGAATGTAATGACTTCATGTAAATTTAGAAAAGAAAAGAATTTCCATTTTGTTCAGTCACTTCAGAGTCCAGCACTTTCTGAGCTTTAGGGATAATGTCTTTGACTAGGATACCTTTAAAGAATAAACACAATAACCTTCTCAGTAACTGATAGTTCATACACTGTATTTTGGGTCCACTGAAGGAGGAATATATGACTGCACCTTGCATTAATGGATACTGGGACAGAGAGAGGCACTAATTGGCCCTCAGTTACACAGTATGTCCATGTAACCAGTAAATGAGAGAGAGAAAATAAGAGAATCAGAGTGAGAGAAAAGGTATGTAACACACTTCACCTCTCCTAAAAGAGAAGGAAAAGTGCCTCCTGAAGCACATTTGGAAACAATGCATAGGCTGGGTGAGCCTAACAGGAGGTCTTACCTCAACCCCCATTCTGCCTACTCTGTTTTGTGAGATCCTTCTGTAACTTATTGTTGATAGCCTTTAAGAACACTTACACTTACTATCAACCATAAACCAGGCAAATTTACTCTGGTCCACTTATAAAAATACTTTAAAAGCTTCCACAGAATTCTGATTCCATGCAGAGGACATTTGTTGTTTTGCTCTCTCCAAAAGTATCAGTTTTTTCCACACTTTTCTAGCACCAAGTTTCCTAAAACCATAATTAAAAAAAAAAAAAAAAAGAGTCATTTAGCCCTTCAGTTACTCAAGTCTTAAAATACTTTCTTTCACACTTTTGTGAAAGCTGTGTGTTTTGCTGCTGTTGTTTGTTTTAAAGGTCAAAATAATTAGGTTAACTGGTTCTGAATTGTGTACAAATCTACTTGCTTCCTCAAAATCAGGCAAGATTTGATTTTTCCATGTTCACGCCCCTCTCCCTACCCACAGTGAACAAAGATTGTTGATCTTATTTCTTAAAAAGAACTAAACTGGGCCAACCTACAAGAATAAAAACTTCAAATACATCTCCTGTGATTCAGATAAAAATGAGGTGAGTCAGGTAAAAGTAAATAAGCATGCTAGAAAGAAGTAATGGAATCAAGAGGTCACTTATTAGTTTTTGAACTATCATAGAGAAAGAAAATGCAATCAGTTGTATTTTGTACATGTGAAGTTCAACACATGCTTCTAAAAGAATCAGTGGGCTGCCAAGCTGTCTGGCAAAAAAGGTAAGCAGAACCAACTATTGTAAAAATATTCCATTAAAACACTGCCTACAAATATACACAACTGTGAAATATATGTGAAAGATTCCTTAACAACAATAACACTATATAACTAGTACTATTTTAAACACTAAGTCAACTTATTTATTTCACAGAGTTGTTGAGATGATGAAGTACACCACTGCTTATCCCCATCTTACAAATAAGGAAACAGGTAAGATTAAATACTCTACTAAGAAAAAGAGCAGTAATTCAAACCCAAAATGCTAATTATGATCACTTCCAGACAGTAGGATTGTAGATAAAATCCCTACCTGCATTGTGAAGAATGTTTACAATGCTCAAAGTTTGAGGTCTGGTTTATTTTATCTTAACAGGAAAAAAAAAAAAAAGAGGGGAGGCAAAGCAAGATGGCTGAATCAAAGCCTCCACTGATGGTCCACTCTGCAGGAATACCAATTTTACCAACTACACACAAAAAAGCACTGCCAAAGAACCAAAAATCATAGTGAACAATCATAGCACCTGGTTTTAATTTCACATTGCTGACAGAGGCAATAAAGAGGGTGGGAAAGACTATCTTGAATCGCTGATGCCACCCCTCCCCCATCCCACAATAGCAGCTGTGCGGCATAGACAAAGAATATGTGCACTTGGGTGGAGAGAGCACAGCAAATGGGAGACTTTGCATTAAACTCAGTGCTGACCAGTCACGGTGGAGAGCAAAAGTGTGCTGGGTTCAGCTAGCAGCCACCCACAAAAGGGAGCATTTGGATGTGACATGGTCAGAATGGTCAGAGGAGAATCGCCCATCCAAGAGGTTGGAAATTGAGTAAGCCCTGCCACCAAGGGTTAAAGTGCTCTAGAGTCTCAGGTGAACTTGAAAAGGCAGTCTAGAACACAAGGACTACAATTCCTGGGCACATCTTAGTGTTGTGCTTAGAGCCAGTGGACTAGGGCAGCACACAACCAAGTGACCCACCAGATAGGGCGACCAAGGGAGCGAATGTGTCACTCCTCCCCCAGTCCCAGGCAGCAGAGCTCATAGCAGTAAGTGACTCCTTCCTTCTGCTTCAGGATAGGAAGGCAACAAGTAAAGGCAACAGGAGCGTGTCTTTTATCTTGTATACCAGCTCATTCACAATAGGATAAGGCAACAGGCAGAGTCCTGAGACCTCATTCCAGGCCCTACCTCCTGGATGACATTTCTAGACATACCCAGGGCCAAAAGGGAGCCCACTGCCCTGAAGGGAAGGATCCAATCCGGGCAGGATTCATTGTCTGCTGACTAAAGAGCACTCGGGCCCTGAATAACCAACAGCGATACCCAGGTAGTACGCTGTAGGCCTTGGTTGAGACTCAGACATACTGATTTCAGGTGAAACCCAGCAAATTCCTGGCTCACTGTGGCGGCTATGATGAGAGACTCCTGCTTGAGAAAAGCAAAAGGAAACATA